TCTTAGGAAGGCCTCCACCCCGATGATCCCAGGGCCTGCTCTTCAGCCTCCGGTTTACAAATAAGCACCACAATCTTAGAGGGCTGTGTCCTCCAAACAGAAGGGTGGTCGGAGCACAGGCCTGCGCAGCTAGCAGGAGAGGGGGCCCAAGAGGGGCACCTCCAGGGATGGAGGACAGGTCTGCAGGACGGATGAACGCTAGGAAGCCCACCTGGAGAATGGGCACTCAAAGACAGGGAAGGAAAAGACACTTTAAATCTAGCTTTATTGAGGTATGAAAGACTTAAAAATAGCTTTGTTGAGGTATAATTTACCTACTGTAAAATTCATCCATTTTGAGAGTACAATTCAATTTACAAAGTTGTTCAAGTATCACAATCCAGTTTTAGAACATTTCTATCTTCCCCCAAATAAGCTAATTTTCAGTCACTACCTACTCTTACCCCCAGCCCCTGGAAACTACTAATTTGCTCTCTGTCTTTATAGACTGCCTTTTCTGAACATTCCAATATAAATGCAATCCTACAATATGCACCTAACTTTTTATCATAATATTTTTGAGGTTCCTCCATGTTATAGCCCACACCCGCATTTTGTTCCTTATTATTGCAGAACAGTATTTCACTGTTTGATATGCTGCATCTTATTTATCCATTCACCAGTTGAATAGACATTTGGATTGTTTCTGCATTTTGACGATTATGAACAATGCTGCTATGAACATTCATATACGTATCTTTGTGTGAAGATATGTTTTCATTTCTCTTGGGTAGCTTACCTAAGAGTGGAATTCCCGGGTCATATGGTAAATGTATGTTTAACTTTACAAGAAACAGCAAAACAATTTTCCAAAGTGGCACTTTTTGATATGCTCACCAGCAATGTATGAGGGTTCCAGTTCTTCCACATCCTTACCAGCATCTGGAAAGGATTACTGTTAGGGATAATTTTCTAAATAAGTGAAGCTGCCTCTCCCCACCCCAATCCCCACACAAAGCGAGGCAGGCAGCTAGTGCCAGTTTATCAGAATCGGGAACACAGACCAAGGCCCACCCTCTGGTCTCAGCTGCCCTTTGCCCTCTCAGGCTGCTGCCCATCCCAGGCTCCCTGGGCCCAAAGAGGAGAGAGGAAAGTTGTAGTGACAATACTATTGCAGAGCTAAGAGGTGGGAATACGGTAGGATAGGGTTTGTAACAACTAGAGAACAAGTGGGGCCCATGTTCTAGAAAATCCCTCTGGGGAAAAGCCCACAGGAGATACTAATAAAAGTCAAATGTACAGGTTAACCTCTCAGGACTGGTCTCGGGGCAATTCCCCACACCATCTGAGTTTAGTTCCCTCCTCCTCTTGAGGTAGGAGTACCTCATGAATGCATGGCCATCCCACCCCACCATGTACCTGTCTTCCTTAGAAAAATACCACCAAGGACTTACATGCATTTGCCAAGCTGAATAGATAATAACAGCATACCTTTCTTAGCACCAGACATCGCATTACCAGGAAGGTATAAACAAATGGGAGGGAGTTTGAAGTAGAGTGCTAAAAATGACAAAGAGGCAGGCCCCGTTTACATGAAGAAAGATTGAATGAAGCAAATTTTTCAGGAGGATGGGCCTGACTCTGTGAGTGTGGAGGGGTGATGGGTGATTATTGCTTTGAGTAAGAGTGAGGTGAGTAAATGGGATGTGTGGGAAGAAGGAACCCCAGTGAAGGGCTTTGGAGTAAATGGGAACACCCCCACCAAAGACTGGTCTTCCGATGTTCACAGCGGCTTTATTTATAATAACCCCAAAGGGAGCCAACCCAAATGACCCTCCACAGGTAGAAGGGTGGACCAATCATGATATTGCCATACAGTGGAATACTATGCAGCAGGAAAAAGGAGCGAACTATTTATACTCACTACAACACATGAATCTCAAAATAATGATGTTAAGTGAAAGAACCACCCAGACCAAATTAGTACATCCAGAATTCAATTTACATGCAAATCCAGAAAAACGCAAACTGCCCTATAGAGTGACAAAAAGATCAGTGGTTGCCTGGGAACAGACATGACAGAAGAAAGATTTCTAAGGGGCACAAGAGAAGTTCTGGAGGTGAAGGATATGTTCATTATCTTAATTGTGGTTATGGCTTCACTTGGGGACACATATGTCAAGACTTATCAAATTGTACACTTTGCATATACATCAATTGCACCTCAATAAAGTGTAATAATAAGAAGACTAAAGAACCTAAGTATTGAGGAGGATGGCTTGTTGGAGACAGCACACTGAGAAGGGGGATGAGATAGAGTTTCTTGGATCCAAGGAGCTGAGTCACCAAATTGCCCTAAGAGAACTTCTCAAGTAAACTCTGCCTCAGAAATCTTTTCTAGATTCTAGCAATGGGAAAAGGAATATGGGAAGACAAGTCACTGAAGTGGAGGGCTAGAATTGCTATTTGGGTGCAAAACTCTTATTAGCATCCAGAAGCTTCTGGGTAGAATGTTGAAATCTTTTTTGCTTGGCACCTGATTCTTTTACACCTGGCCTCATTTCCCTTAGGACTACTGGGACCTCACGCTGCCCAAACTTCCCCTCTCAGGGCCCAGAGAAAAACAGCAGGGATAGGGAGAAAGGTAGACATTGCAGGGAATACCTCTGACCCAATGGACCCATTTCTGACTCCACTGCTTCCTAGGGTTGAGGGGCTCTGAGGGAAGGGGGATGGGAAGAAGCGCACCTCAAACCCAGCCTGGCAACAGGCTAAGTAAGCTCTGCCTTTCTGAGTGCTTAGAATCTTTCAAAATAGAAGAGGCTAAACATTCCTTAAATTCAAGAGAGGGGTACTCTCCGGTACTAGGAGTCCTTTGGACCTGGTTCTTTCTTCAAAATCTAAACCTGCCCTTGGTTGGCTGAGTTCCGGCCCCTCTCCTCTTCCACCCACTCCTCTCCGTCCTTCTGCGCATCCCTGCAGCCCTAGACAGCGTCCCCAGGTATCAGTCACTACCTGGGTCCTTTCCCAAGTCAGCATTTACAGTGATTGTGCTTTCGTCACTACTGCCCTGTGCTCCTGGTTTTAGATTTCCCTCACAGGAGCAGGAGTTAAAATGAACACTTTCCTTTCTCTTTATACCACAGGATTCTGAAATGGGGTGATTTTTAAATCTTTGCCCTATTTCAACCATGCAAAGAATCTTGAGTTTCTACTGTCAGAACCTAAGAAACCCTAGTGACAGGACTAATAAAAATTAGCTAGTAGGCTTGGTAGAATTTCTCAACAAGCCATCTGCATCAGACACACCTGGCATGCTTGTTATCAAGACCCATTCCAGGATCCTGTCCCAGACCTCACGAATCAGATGCTCTGGGAAAGGGCTTGGGCATCTGACTCTGAGGCACTGTAATAGCACAGAAGACCTTCTGCTTTAAAGGAACAGTCTCTTTGCTCCTTGTTTCATATTTTATTCTTGCCATGTTTTGTTTCTTGGGAGTCTGTGGTGAGAAAGAATGTGTAACAGGCATAGGCTTGCGTTTCTGGGCCTAGAATAAGGTGGGGAGGGGCAGGTGGGGCTGGGAAAAGTGTGCCAATGCAAATATTGTCCCATCAGGACCTGGTAGTTTTGCTGCCAGGAGGCTTGCTGGGATGTGTGCTTTGCAGAGAAGGTGGCTTGGTTTCCCTGCTGCAGACTGAGGAGTCTGGTGTCATGGGAAAGGGCAAAGCTCAACAGTGCTGGTGGTTGAGGGCTGGAATGGACGACAAAGACTTAGGCCAATGCTACAGGACTGCTGGAGTTCCACTGGCTCCAGGAGAGGCGGGGGTGGGTCACCCGGGAGCCTTCAGAGGCAGGAAAGGAGTGGAGGCAGGTTAGACCTTGACTTCCCTCAGGCCTGATGACCATCCTGGGTAGAGGGGATACTTCAGTGTCCTTGATTTGGGGGATCAGAAGTTGGGAGGAGACCCAAGGTTTGACAATCCCAGGGCAGCAAATCTACTGCACCATCTGACCAAGGAATGGTGGCAGCTGACCAGTTCCCAGAAGACTCACATCCGAGTTGGAGGTAGTGCGTCCATTCAGTGACCCATCTGGCCACCAGCACCCTCCCTGGTTTACACACAAAGCATGTCTCAGGTTGATTCCTATTTACCCTTTCCAACTCTTTTTCCACCTTTCCCAAGCCCCTAGGCGGGTTGGGTGTCCTCTGCACTCCTGTAGAGAGCCCTATGCTTGCTCACGTTCTATAATGTAACACCATGTGATGATTTTAGGCTTACATCTCCGTCCCCCGACAATCCGCATTGTTGCAGCCAGCTGCCCACCTCTCGCAGTGTAGACAGATGCTCCTGAGCCCAGGACTGCTCCAGCAGCGAGTGCAACTCAGGGTGCCGGGCCAGAGGAATCTAGCACCGCAGGCCTCCTGCACAATGGGGACCGACTTGGTCTGGATGGAAACCCTAGACGCCAGGCCAGCCTCCTGCCCACTGTGCCCTGTGTCCCAGGAAGCTGCCAAGGATCACAGTGCCAGCTGGCAAGATGTAAGATTTCTTCTTGGAAGGATTCTTGGCTTGAGAGCTGGCCCTCACCTCTTCCAGCCTTCTTTGGTGCCCTCAGGTGTCTGGGGAATGGAGGATGGGAGGGAGAAGCTGGGTCAGCCCAGCTTTGCTGCGGTCTCCCAGAGCCTTTGTGCCCACTCCTTTCTCCCTGAAGGATACAAGTTTTCCTAACTTGGGTAGAGATGGGAGGCAGCTGGACATCTGGGCACAGGACCGTTGCACTGCCTCTGGCCTTTAGCTTAACTAATACAAGATAAGGCAACAGCCCACCAGATTGAGGAGCAGGCTCACTATCAAGAAGGAGACCCACACCGAGTTGTCAAAAAATTCCCTCCACTGACAGTGGTCATGACTCTGAGTGGAATACCCCGTGTCTCTGTAAAAACCCCTCGAATTGCTTGATAGAGGTGGCTACTGCAGAGCCCTCCCCTTAGCCCAGGAAATACACACCCAACCACAGCTATTTATTTTCCTTTTAATTTTTCTGAAGGATATACACCACATATCCCATGGGCAATAAAGCGCATTCAATGTGTTTATAAGCCAAACAGTCACTTTGTTTAAGCAAACACAAAGTAAAATAAAACCACAAAATAATGAACGGCATGTTCATAACATACAAAAATCGCCGCCTACTCAGTAGGTAACTACAACATTCCAACTCCTGAATATATTTATAAATTTACATTTTCAGTTAAAAAAATAGACTTCTGAGAGTTCAGATTGTTTTAGATTTTGTGTTCTTACATCCTGGAGAACCAAGACTCGGCTTAGCCCTCTCCCTTAGTTCCCTCCCAAAGCCTCTCCCGAGTCATCACTCCTTGCCCCCCTTTTAAGGCTAGGGGTGAGCACATCCCTCACGATTGCACATGTCAAGCCATCAGAGCAAGGTGCATCACACAAAAGGCACCAAGACGTGAAAACTTTTTAAACCAAAAAGATGAAGAAAAAACTTTCAAAAAAAAGAAAAACCAAACCATATTTTGGCACATGTGAGAGTATAGTCAGGCAGTATTTACAAAAAGGTTAACGGAACATCACTCTAACACATGCTCTGAAATACCGAGGACTGCTGTTTCAAAAAAAGCTTCAAACTTAATCACAGCATCATCACAAAATAAAGGATCACCATTGGTTTGCTTGGCTTTTCTTCACCGCCCCCCCAAAGTAAGGACCTAACTCCAAATAATACAATAGAATATGCAAATTATCTTCACATCAAGAGTACCCCAAGAAAAACAAAATCCGTGGCACAGACACTGTACAAGGGTGCAGGGCTGGGCTCTGAAGAACCCAAACCCCGTTTTGCCAACTCGGCTTTCGAGTACTGAAGGGATCGAGGGTCAGGCAGACGATGGAGATGATACTGAATGATACATCCAATTCCATGCAAGTCAAGTTCTTTGGCTGGAGGTGGAGAACTTGGACATGGCTGTTCCAGGCAGCTGAAGTCAAAGGTAGTAGGAACCGGGGAGGAAGGGGAAGTGGGCAGAAAGGATCGCTGGCCAACAGGCCTTCCACACCGACCCTGGGGCCGAGCAGGGGGAGGAAGGGGCTTTGAGAATCTCCATCTGACCGAGGAGGATCTCCCTCCCATGGCCGTCTCCTCGCCCTGTCGTCTGTCTCTCAGGTTTCTTTTTCTCCAGTTTCCCTTTCTTCCTCCTTCCCTTTAGCAAATTTCAATCGTCCTGGGAGAAAAGGTGGTCGACATGTCCGAGAGCCCTGTGGAGGCGCTGAAGGAGTTGGGGACAGCTGAGGAAGGGAAGCTGCTGACCTGCGCTGGGAAGGCAGGGGGGACCGAGGAGTACGTGGCGGCCACCGAGGGCGAGGGGAAGCCGCTGTGCACAGGGGACGGGTAGGTCGAGGAGCCAGGAGAGGAGTAGGAGGTGGGCACAGGGGACGGGTACGAGGTGGTGGCTGGGGACGGGTACGAGGTGGCCACCGGGGATGGGTAGGAAGGGAGGGACGAGGTGGTGGGAGAGGCCACCACAGCTTTGTCCGCTTTTTTGTCCTTCTGCCGCAAGTGAATCTTGGTGTGCCTCTTGCGCTCGTCGCTCCTGGCAAACTTTCTCCCGCAGATGTCGCAGGCGAAGGGCTTCTCGCCGGTGTGCGTGCGGATGTGGGTGGTGAGATGGTCACTGCGGCTGAAGTTGCGCATGCAGATGCGACACTGGAAGGGCTTCTGGCCCGTGTGGATGCGGATGTGGCGGGTGAGTTCATCGGAGCGGGAGAAGCGTCGGTCACAGGACTCCACGGGGCAGGCGTAGGGGCGCTCGTGGGGCGGCGTCTTGCTGGGCCGGTTGGGGTACTTGCGCATGCGGCTGGGTTTGATGAGCTGGGACTGGTAGGTGGTGTTGAGGGCCTTCAGGTCCTGGGAGCCTGACTGTGTGGCAAAGGCCTTGATGGTAGAGAGCGGCGTGAGGGAAGGCTGCTGGGCACGGCTCTCCAAGCCCTGGAAGGGCTTCTGGTCTGCGGTGCCCAGGCCCAGGTCCCCCTGCTGCTGGGGAAACAGGTAGTCAGGGATCATGGGGACTTGGAAGCCACTCTTGGCAGCAGGGTAGGCAGGAGGCGGGTACTGGAGCGCGGTGCCTGCTGAGCCGGGAAACGCCTGGCTTTGGGGCTCCGGGAAGATGTCGGTGTTGGGTGTGGGGAAGGTGGGTGCTGCGGAGTATATGGGGCTGCTCTCGTTGGACTGCACCGCGCAGCTCAGGGGTGGGCTCTGGGAGGCAGAGGAGGCGGCGGAGGCCGCTGGAGACGGTGCTGAGGACGAGGTGGCAGGTGGGTTGGTCATGCTCACAAGGCCGCTGACCAGGCTGAAGAGAGGCTCAGGCCACAAGGTGTTGCCACTGTTGGGTGCAGGCTCAAGAGAGAAGCGGCCCGTGTAGGTGATGGGGGGCAGCCGAGTGGTTTGGCTGGGGTAACTCGTCTCCACCAGAACCTTCTCGTTATTCAGAGAGATGTCAGGAAAAGACTCTGGCAGAAGGGAAAGATGGGAGAGGCCTGGTTACCGGAGAGCAATCACCGGAGGCGGAGGACCCAGGTTGCCAAGCAAGAGGTCAGGCGGGCTACCATCGACTCTCGAGCCGGTTAATAATTGATAGCAGCAGATTGCCATGTTCCTGGACCCGCTCCAGCGACAGAGCCCATTACAACAGCAGCTGACGCAAATACGGAGAATCCCCCTCCACTGCAGCGCCCAGCACTCCGCAGCGGCGGCTGCGCGGGCGAGGGATTCCCGCCAGCACGCCCTCGGCCGCCGCGGCTACTGCGCGCCCCCTACCCGGGGCTGCCGAGGCAACCCTGGCCGCGGATCACGGCCCTTCCTTTGGGACAACCGGCAGGCAAAGCCACCCTTTCTGGAGGAAAGGGGTGCTCAGCCCTGCTCATCAAAACAAGCCCTCCCCCCTCGCCACCCCACCCACCCACGCAGCCCCCGAGCTCTCCATCCAAAACGAAAGCTCGGTCCTCCGCGTCCCGCTAGGGCCGGGAGGGTGGAGGTGGGGGAGCATGTCCCGAAGCTTCCCTCTAGCACATGAACCGGGAATGTGAGGAACAGAAGGGAAACCCCACCGGCGCCCCCGAGGTCCAGCAGCCGTGCTGCGGTGATGGGGCGCTGCAAAGGCCGTGGGGGTAGAGCTGGACGCCAGGATGGTGACCAAGGGGCTAATCCGAGGCGAAGGCCACCGCTTACCTGCGGTCAGATGCTCGTAGGGCTGCTCGCCCGCCTCCCCCTGAGAGTTGAAGGCGCCGCTGCCGTGGCTGCCGCCTCCTCCACCTCCACCGCCCCCGCCGTTGCTGCTGGTACCGCCGCCGCCCTCCGAGGCTCCGGTGGCACCGAGGAACTGGGGAGCCCCGTTGCTCAGCAGCATCATCTCCTCCAGTTTGGGGTAGTTGTCCATGGTGGGCGAGTGAGGAAAGGAACCGAAGGGGTCGGAGATCTGCAGCGGGGACATCAGCTGCATCTCGGCCTTGGCTGCGGCCATCCCAGGCACACAGGCTGGAGAGCTCGTGTTGGGGCGGATAGGCGCAGCCCGGCGCCGGAGCTGTGGGGGGACACTCTCGGGGGCCTTGCCGGGTCACATGCGGGGCGCGGGGCACACTGTGGAGAGCGCAGGTAGGGTCCCCAGGCTCGCCTTCGCCGCCGGCCGGTGTGGACGCGACGCTGCAACCCAGGTTGGGGTAGGGGCAGGTCCTGCGGCGGCGGCAGCTGGCGGCGGCGGCGGCGGCAGCTGGCGGCGGCTCCCCGAGTTCTGCGCGCTGGGATCTCTCGCGACTCCCCAGATCCGCCTCTATTTGAAGGGTCTGGAACTGTACGGGCCCGCCCCCGTCGTGACGTACATGGCCATATATGGAAAGCAGGAAGCCCTAATATGGCAAGACCGGCCGGGAGGACCCGGAGTGACGTGCAGTGCCCTGTCTCAGAGAGATGGACACTGCCGCCTCTCATCCCAGCCCTGAGCCGCCTCCCTCACCCTGCGCACCCGGGCCTCGAGAAAGGTTAGCGCTCGAGCCGTAGAAGGGGACTCCCAGGCCCGGGTGGCTCCAGAGTTCCCGGAGTTACCCCCGCCCCTTCCCTCCGCCTTCTTCCCTCCTCCCGGAGCCGGAAGCCGCCGGGCCATATCGGGCAGCTCCAAATAAGGTGCTGCCCAAATTAGGGTTGTTCCGGCGGGGGATCCTTCCTGCTCCTTATATGGCGTTTCCGGGTCGCTGCTTGCTGCTCCCGGGCTCCCTCCCTCCTCGGTGGTTGCCAGCCGGGAGCCCAACGCTCGCAGGAGCCGGGGACACCCAGACGGAAGGCTCGGGATGCCTGGCGCTAGGCACCCGCTGCTGAGGCGGCTCCGCGGTGGGGACTAAGCTGGGGAAGCCCGGCCCGGGGCGGGGGCGAGGGCGAGTCAGGCCGGATCTTCGCCGCAGAGGCCTAGGGCCCGCCCTCCCACCTCTGAGACCGTGGGAGAGGGGCGGGAGCGCAGAGTTGGGGCGGCCGGGCCTGCCGGGGCAGAGGCCGCCCAGGAGAGGCGGAGCCTTGACCCCTGGCCTCGACCAATGGCACTGTGCCTTTCCAGGTGTCACCGGGGAAACTGAGGCTAGGAAGTAATAAACCAGATAGTTTCTAGGTCGTCGTGCACTGTGTTGGGTTGCCTGCTGCTTCGCCATCTAGCAATGAAATGGGTCTCTTGGGGCCTGGGGATCCCTCTGCACCACCCAGAACTGAAAGGCTGTTCTCTGATGCCCACTGGGGAAGAACCCACATGTGGGTGACCGGATGAGGGAACCTGATTGCCCTGGGAGAGACCAGAGTCCCCTTCCCACCGGGAGCTGGTGGTCCTTGCGGTGGTGGGAGATTTCCCCAAGTTTATCCAGAGCAGGTGGAGGTGGGGCGGGCAACGCGGGAATCTGAGAAGGGGGCTTCCCTACGGGCTGCTTGGGGACCCCAGCCTGGCGCGGAGAGGACCTGCTTGGTGCTGCCCCCTGGAGGTCCTCGCTCCATCTCGTCCCCCGGGCCCCTTCTTGCTTCCCCTCCCGGTTCTGGCGCTGGGCGCGGAGCCAGGCCGGGAAACCTTCGACGCAGTGAGTGCGAACTGAGCAGGCGCGGGAGCCGGGGCTCCTCCCGCAGCCCCCGGGGAGCCGCCACCACGCGGGCGCCGGGGACCCAGGCGGGGTCACACACCACCCTCCCGGGGTCAGGCCGAGGGCGGGGGCGCGTGGGAGTGGGGAGGGACGGGCAGGCGGAGAGATCCCCGCAGGTGAGGCCGCGAACGGGGAAGCCCTCCCCGCCCGGTTCCTGCGCCCCAGCCCCAGCAGTCAGGTGCGCACCCCAAAGAGACGAGGATTCCGAGACGGAAAGACTCCTGCGCCAGCTCGGAATCCAGGGGAGGTGCTGTTTTTCTAAATTTAAAAGGAAAGCAGAAAGGGTGGGGGTTGGGGGAGGAGAGTACTGACACCAGGAGGGAAGGGAGCGGGTCAAGGTCTCCTCGAACGCAGCCTCAGGAGGTCCAAGTTGGGAGTTTAAGTTGGGGGTTCTGTCTCTCCTACACACACACACATTCTTACAAAAATATACGTAAATATTCCAGCAGTCAACCAGTACCTCTTTGTATCTGTGCTCTAGGTCTGAGCTACCGACCCCAAATTCTCCCCACCCAGACAGGGTAGGTGTCCTTCAGGGGCAAGAGTGATACACTGCGCAGAGGCCTCCTGCTGGGCAGGAGGGCCAGACCCGTCAGGGTCAGAGGGCCTTGTTTCTGAGTGCCCATTCTGCCACTCCCTGGTGGCACCACTGCTTTTTGCATCTCTGCTTTCTTCAACTGCAAAATAAAACGAATGTTAATGGTACCTACATGGAAGGACTGTTGTGAAGACTGAAACTTATATGGGCTGCCATCTGTGAAGTTCCAAAGCAGTGCGCCTGCCTTGCAGTTGGCATTCAATAAACAGTGGCTATTGTTATTTTCAGGGGCCTACAGTTACACCCATCCTCAGCCTCCAAGCAAATCCCAGTGACCCTTTTCTGAAAACTTGTACAGAAAGGGAGAAACATTCCAGTTCTAACACAGGGACATTGTCCTGAAGAGCTAATCTGACTCCTTGCTGCAGTAGAACATAACTTTCTAGAGCAGAATTTTTCAACCTTGACTGTGTAGCCACTCTGAGCCACTCATGCACCCTGGAGAATCACCCACCTGTGGAGCTCTGACCAAAAAAAAAGAGGTTTAACTTTAGACGAACTGAATCATCTTCCTGAGCTTGAGATTGCCAGAACTGAGCAGGTACCTGGTCCTAGGAGACTTCCTCAGTCCCTGGGAAGCTCCCCAAACCCCAAGAGGACGTCTTCCTCCCCAACCAAGACACACTGGTCCAAGGTACAAGTTTACCTAAGGTATCTTCAGTTCCCTGCTGAAGCTGGGCACTGGAAATTCTTATAGTCTCCATCTGTTGTACATGCCCGACATCAATTCCCCTATTTTTTTTCATAACTGCGCCCCAGCCAGTGATTTCCTTTGGGAAACCACCCCAACCCATGTGGCTGGGGAAAAATGACCCCATCCGAGATCTAGGAGAGGGTATGTTGGCTACACCTGGCCACGCATCGAGATAATTCGTTTCTGAGCAGTCCCTCTCCCTTGCCCCGGTGGTTGAGTCACGATGGGCACACGACCCTAACCAGGCCAATGAAAATCACTTCTAGGACTTTTCCAGGAATTCTTGAAAAGGGGAGATTCTCTTTGCCTGTTGGCAGAAGCCAGTGGAATGTAAGTCTGGGGGCCATGGGGCTGGAGAGCCTGCCTGGGAACGAAGGCAACGCAGAAAAAATCAGAAGAGATCTCTAGGCAGAAAGGAAGTCTCTGGAGACAGCCTGGGCCTTTTAGTTATGCAGGCCATGAATTCCTTTTCTATTTGATAAAACAAAGTAAGCTCATTTCAGTTTTGTTACGACCCAACAGGTTCTGATTAATACACCCATTATCCACAACAACAAAAACCTTTTCTGAGGACTTTCTATGGGCAAGGCGCGGCCCCTAAGGGCCTTAACAGTTGCTTACAACTGGGTAGAAGGGAGCCGGGATTCCATGTTATAAGCAAATTAAGAGTAAGAAGCAGTGCTGTTAACCAGTTATGCTAAAGCACAGAGGGAATAAGAGGAGGAAGAGATTCCAGAGGACTGGGAGGGGGGCAGGGATGATGGAGAGATTTTGAAGGAGAAAGAACACGAGAAGGACCAAACTTTGTGGTGAGGAAGTGAGAGGCACTTTCAGGCTGGGCTTGGGGGCGCCGTGGCCAGGTGAGTCCATATGTGGTGAGTGTGGGAAAAGTGGGCTGGACTAGAGAGGGCTCTTGTGGGGAAGCGGGAGGAGGTAAGGTTGAAAAAAACATTCATTCTGTTCAAAAAAATAAAGGTTTGTTGGCCACTGCTTCTATCAGACACAGTGCTAAGTTTTGGGAACTCCACAATGAAGAAGGGAGATGTTTTGCCTTCCTGGAAACTGTCACTCAGTGGGATAAACAGAACTAAAGGGCTACAGAAGTAAAAAGGATAATTTCAGATGTGGTAAGTATAACATTCTAGAGAGGTGAGGGAAGCATCTCAGAGGAGGTGACATTTATGCAGAGATACAAAGGATGGGAGGAAGCCAGCTCTGCACAGAGGGGTGTAAGTGGGGAGAGCCTTCCAGGCAAAGGGGACAGATGTGCAAAGGCCTCCAGAGGGAGGGAGATCTGACCATAACCAGTCTTGGGCCTCAGGCTAAGGTGTGGGCAGCAAGAATGTTCAGGGCTAAACTGGACCAGCACCCTTCCCCTCCCTCGTCCTGCCCTCTACAGCTCCTGCAAAGGAGAAGGCGGCCTTCTCAGCCATGCTTCGCCTCCGTGGTATATACCCCTGGAGGGCAGCTTCTGCGCAGGCACAAGAGGAGCTGGCCCAAAGCCCCTACGTGCTGCTCGTCCCTGAGCAGTGCCTCTTCTGTCCTGGGCTGCCAGGGAGGAGGAAGGCCTTCACATCTCCTTTCTAGAGAAGGTTAGCTGCTGGCCTGTCTTCTCAGCAGCAGGGCTGGGGGCATCTGGGTTATCCCCATCCTCCTCTGGTTTTTTGGCCAATGACACACTTCTGTTTGCTGGGACTTGAGAGACAGGAAGGGGAGGGGACATGGTGAATGGAGTCGGCTCTCTCAGGGAGCTGAATCTCAGTTTGAGCTCATGAGCACCCAACTTGTGACCAAGCGACAACTGGCCTGGGAAATCAGGCTGTGGGTAACGGAGCCTCTGAGCCACTCATGCACCCTGGCCTGCATCTACAGGGCCTCAAGGGCTCATTTGGGCTGAGTCTGGGACTGTCGGACCTTGCTCCCCAGGGCGACTGATGCCAGAGGACCTGGAAAGGTGAGGGGGGGCCTGGGAAGGTCTGCAGGCTTTTATAGCAAATGGGAGAGGAGGAGGGGCTGGAGTGAGAGCAGAACTGAGCTTATCCCTCCGTGGCCACCGGGGCTGCAGGGGAAGCCGGCGGGAAGCACCATGCCCCCAAACCCGCCCCAGGCCTGAGCGGGCTGCAGCCCTGAGAGGAAAATAAGCCTGTTTCCATTGCTGCTTCCTCCTCCCCACCCCGGCTACGTCAGCACCTACATGTGCTGCTCAGACCGTGGTTTGCCACGGCTGTGACCAGCCTGGGGCTCAGGAAGTGATTGTGTCTTTGGTTCGGTCTGGGGCGCCTGTCACACTTTCCGTCACTGATGGGTTCTGCCGGAAACATGGTAGGCCTGGCAGTCAATATGCCTGGAGGCAGCTCTGCTCCCGCTGCAGGGAGGGTCTCCAGGGGCGAGAAGAAATCTGAAGAAGCCAGGTACGGGGTGGGGCAGAAGGGGCACTGAACAGGGAGAACTGGGGAGAGAGGCTGGGGGAATAAGAGGGAATCACCCCAGTGTTGGAGTGAAGCCATCTGTCCACTTTCGTTGCAGCCAGTTACAGATGGGGAAATGGGCGCCAGAGGAGGACAGGTGGGGGAGGGCCCATGCAGAGAGATGCTGAGGTGAGGCCAAGGCCGGGGGGGCTCCCCGAAGCTCTGAAGCGGGTGGCTGGCACGCTGCTGGCAAGGTCAGGGGCCAGAGGGAAGAGCCCGCAGAGGATTTGGCCCAGGTGGGGGGTCAGACTGAGAAAGCTGGTGCCTGGCCTGTTGTCCCCAGAGTCTGGCTAAGGGGCCATGTGGCAGACAGGCTTAGGTCAGGCCTGGAGAGGAAGACACAGGGGCAGTACTCGGGAGGTGGTACAGGGTGCCTGTTAGGGGCAGAGGCAGTGGGGAGTGGTTCGTAAACACCTCGGTGGGGCTCTCTGGGTCCTCTCTGCCCCAGAGTGCCCTGCAGATGCGGGAAGAGTTGCTGTCTGTGGTCACCAGTCCTTCTGCCCTATGCTGGGCAGCCCGTGTCCCAGGTCCAGAGCTGGCCGGACCCCGGGCTTAGGACAGTACAGCCTGTTGTGATTTCTTTGCTCTCCCCACTCCCAGCTGAGTGTGCGGCAAAGCTGGCTGCAGAAATCTCTGGAAGCTCTCTGGGCAGGCAGAGGGAGGGGAACGTTACATAAGAGCCCACTGATGTGCAGGAAGTCTAGAGCAGCCTTTAGATTAGAAGGGCAGCGTTCCCATCCAGCCCAGAAACGCAGGAATAGCAACGGAGGTTATTTCTGGCCCCTCACCGCCGCCCCAGCCCAGTGCCAGGGCTGCTCAGCTGCACGGTGGGTGAGCTTGGCCTCAGCAGACCTGGCCGGAGGGGGAGGGAAGACGGGGCAGGCAGCCCCTGGGGTTACCCCTCCTGGCACTGGCCTCCCTGGCTCCCCCACCCCAAACTCCAGGATGCAACCATCGCCGGTGCGCTTGTTTCCTCTGGCTTCTTGAATCTCTGGATGCATTCTCTACCTCCACCCCCGTCCCCACGGCACAGTTACACGTGACAGGCTCTGTGCTGAACATTTGACAGGCATTTGTCCTCACAATGCCTTATGAAGTAGGTACCATTCTCACCCCCATTTCATTGATGAGGAAACAGGTTCAGAGAAGGCAGTTAACTGGCTCAAGGTCAGAGAGCCAGCAATTCCATGGTGGAGCCAGAATTTTAATTTGACAGTTTGGCCTCAGAATCAATCCTCCGACTGAATCCCACTTCACACTAAGAACTGGTTTCTGGGGTCCCAGAATGAATGGGAAAAAGCTTTCACCCTGCAAGTATTCTTGAGTCATGTGAGCACATCAATTCCTTCCTTCCAGTTATTTTTCAAACATCTGCTCCTCCAAGTGTTAAATATACAAAGAGAAATCAGGTGGGTACTTTCTCTTTTGCAGTTCACAGCCTAGTGAGGAAGACAGACAAGTAAACAGGCAATTACAGCAGTGTGATGGGCTGCTGAGGAGGAAGCACCCGACTGTGGAGCCCCTGAGGCAGATCCCGCCCCCTGAAGTGGTTCCCAGGCAGAGAGCTAACTCGCCGTTTTATTCACAGGAGGCTGGGGAAGGTGGTGGTTGGGGTTCCATGGTAAGACTAGTCAGGAAGCCATGCAATTGTCTGGAGAGGGGGTGAGGGCTGCATGCATCAGCACCAGCTGTCACAGAGATTCCCTCCAGGGATCCCACCCAGAATCAGAGAGCAAAAAAAAAAACAGAGTATTTTTTTTTTACTGGCAGGCAGCTTGGCCCAAAGGTGCATCTATTTCCCTTGGTACAGAGGCAATCAGGTATTTGGAGAGGCTGGATGGAAGGGTCTTCTTTTCCTCCTCTAACCATCCCCCTGTGTACTCCATCCACATAGGGACCCAGCTGTAAGGCAAAGTCAAAACGAGAGATCATAGACGAAGCTGGCACCCGGAACCGGGAGGAAGAGCTTCCATCCGACAGTCACACTGACAAATCGTGATGAGAGAAGGGGCAGTTGGCCTCTATCCCTGCAACATTCGCAGGGGGAGCTTGTTTTCTCTGGGCAGAGGCACCCCTCCTAGTCCTATCAGTGAAGAGAGGGGATCTTTGGAACTTAGGGGACCCCGTTTCCCTCTGATGGACCCACAGAGAAAGTCATTTTGGAAGGATGATGGTGTATGGAAGCTGACAGTGGACTCAGTATCTTTTTAAAAATACTTATTGCGGTAAAATACACATCATATTTACCATTGTAATCATTTTTTAGTGCACATTTACACTTAAGTGGCATTAAGTACATTCACAATGTTGTGTAACCATCACCACCATTCATTCCCAGAACTTTTTCATCAGCCCAAACAGAAACTCCGTCTCCGTGAAACTGTCACCGCCCACCCTGCTCCCTGCCCCCAGCCCCTCGTTACAGTTTCTGTCCCTGTGAATCTGTCTCTTCTAGGTACTTTATGTAAATGGAATCAGAACTTGTGGCCTAATGTGACTGGCTCATTCACTTGGCATAGTGTTTTCAAGGTTCATCCATGTTGTCGCCTGTGTCAGAATTTCCTTCCTTTCTAAGGCTGAATAATACTCCATTGTGCATATATGCACATTCTGTTCATCCTTTCGCCTGTTGATGGGCATTTGGGCTGTTTCCACGTCCACTACTGTGAACAGCGCTGCTATGAATACTAGTGGGCAAGTATGTGTTTCTGGACTGTGCTTTTATTCCCCATCCATTTCTGCTACGCCAAGAGGGATTACAGTCAGATTCAAGAAGGACTTGCTGGTTTCCTACCCCCAGCAGCCAAAGCAGCAGTATTTCCCTCTTCAGAGAGTTTTAATAAACAGAGTCTCCTCTGCCTCTCCTCACCCTACCCCTACACCGGGGTAAAGCCGGAATGGCTGTGCTGCCACAGGAAAGGGGCTTTATAGGGGTCACTCTGGAGCCATAGCTCTGCATGGTTTATTTTTAGGAGCCCAGAGGGGGTGGTTTCGTTGTTTTCATTGTTCTTAGGCTCTGGGTATGTTTGCCACCACTCCCCACCCCAGACCCAACTTTCTCCTTTCCCTGGCGACAAGGCTGTCTCCCTTTTTCTCTCCCAGGTTATATTGGGAGTGTGAAGCTGCTCTTCTTCCCAATTTAGCTTTTGAATTAAAGTGAGAACTGAATGTGGCTGGAAAGCTGACTCCCATCTGTGTGTGAGAGAGGGAAGGAGAGCACATGCTCACATGCAGGGGGAGCTGGGGTGAGGGTAGCCGCCCAGGCAGCTGCTGGTTAATGCAGACACCCATCCTCAGGCACAGGTGAACTGCTCGGCAGAGAGATGCCGAGGTTTGAAGCCTGGTGTTTTTCCAGGAGTGGAAGAACACTGCAGGGACACCATGTGAACATTCCACAAAAATGTGCCATGTACTTACCGTGTGCCAGGCCTCGTACTAGATGCCAAGGAAACTGGTGAACCGGGTAGAGCCAATCGCCTAGAACCCAGCTTTTAGTCCAGTGGGGAAGCAGATGATGACCAAACAGGGAGGGTGACCTGTGTTGTTGGGGAGGGAGGGCAGGTGTCACAGGGGCCTGAATGGGGTGTGTGTCGGGGCTGCGTGTGAGCTGAGACTTGAAGCACACAGTTGCTGAGTGTGAAGCCGGAGATGAGTGCCAGGGCAGATGTCACTGTGTGCAGTTTGGTTTGAGTGGGCCTGGCTTCTGCCAAGGAGGGGGCTGGCACCGGTGAACTGGGCTCAAGACAGCTCTACAACTTGCACTTCCTTGCCCTTTTCTAGGGAGAACAAAACCAGATGCCAGAGAAATCTGGGAGCACATGAGTCCCTTCTGCTCAGGCTCTGAATGGTGCGGGTGGGGGCAGATAAACTGAAGGCTACTTTCTGAGTAGCCACTCAGAAAAGTGGGCCTGGCAGGTCCAAGATGAACCTGAAACAGAGGAAATGGGATCTCCATCAAGTCAAAGGAGACAAAGGTTTCAGGAGGAGTGTCTGCTGGCCTAGCTCACCCGGTCCTTCTCTGGGGCACTGGCCGGCTGCTCTCTGTTTGGACCTTTCCTCTTCTTGATGGGAACAAGTCATGATTCTGGCTGATAAGAGCAAGTCCAAATGCTGACACAGACAGACCCCCTGTTGGCAGAGACTGGAAGGAGCTCTCTGGGGGGCCGTGCATTTCTCTGTCTGCTCTCTCGAGTTCCCCGAGGGCAAGCACAGTGGAGGGAGGGATGCCGGGGTAAAACTCGCCATCAGTATTTCAGATGGCATGATTTATTGATCACTCATCTCGCTATAGGACAAAAGGAGGGTGATTCATTAGGGAGGCAGGGCTGGGGGGGCCACTTGGGGAGAGAGGCCAGGGAAAGGCAGGTTACTGAGGAGGCCAGCCCTGGCTCCCGCTGGGATACCCTGGGGTTCCTGGGCGTGGGGATCAGGGTCTGTACCCCAGAGGAAAATAAGGGGCGGGGCAGGGGACAGGGAAAACTGGGGCAGGCCTGGCTGCACTGCGGCCGTCGGGGAGATGGCATCAGGGAATCTTGCAGCTGGGTGAGCTTCACTCCTGCTGGGCCCCGCCAGCCCTGTCCAAGTTCCTTCCCCCTTGGCCTCTTCTTGACACCCTCGCCCCACACGACCCTGAAATCATCTCCAATAGCCTTTGTAGATGCTGTTTTAAAAGTCTAGGTGGGGTCCCTTGGGCCCCATGGTCAGTTTGGCGATTTCTCTGGTCCCAGGAGGGTGCCTGATACTCGCCCAAAGGTAGTTTGCCCATCTGAGCACGCCCATCTCTTTTCAGGGCTGGGCAAGGGGTGTGCACATAGGCTGGGTTTAGGAACCGATTAGCTTGAGAATCCACAGCTGTCCTGTCCACCCTCCAGCTCCAGGGAGTGGGGCATGGGGCATCCTGTCACCAGACCTTAAGTGGACTGGCTGCAGAGGCCAGGGAATCCCTCGCTGGGAGTGAGCTGCTGCGCCACCTAGTGGCTCTTTCTTCCTTGCAGGCATCCCTCCCACCCGTGACTTCCTCCTGCCTAGTTATGGGACAAACTCTCAGGTAGAACCCAAAAATTTCCGAAACTCGAGGTACCCTCTTCCTCCAGGCAGGCCTAATCCAACGCAGAGAGGGCATTTGGGAGGGAGATGATCATGTACTGGCTGAAATTTAAGGCAGTGGGGAAGCCAGCAGTGTCTTTAGGTTTGGAATCAGTTCCTCCCTATTATTCTGGGTGTGACCTCCACGGCCCGGGCTCCCAGGGCCTCCCCCTCCTCTGCCTGCCCTCCTTTCCTCCAGACCGAGCAGGGCTGGGCTCAGCTCTGCTGATCAAGGAGGAGCTGGCGCAGGCTGGAGCCCTGGCTTTCCTCTGACGTCACAGCCTGGAAATTCCCATTTTAAGCAGGCTCTCTGGGTGCGGGGCGCACACAAGAGAGGGCGGGGGAGCTAGCTGGAGCCGCACCGGGCCCAAGGCCCTTCTAGCACAGATCTCAGGCCTAATGTTCCCAGGATGGTTTGGGCGTAGGACGCAGGGCTGGACCACAGTCCCCAGTCCGAAGCTAACTCGCTCAGTGTCCACTGCGGACCCAGGCAGTGATCAGACGCCCTCCTAGCTCCAGCCATACTCCTCTGTTCCGGCATCCCTTCTCCACTGCCCTGGCCTAGAGAGATCTGCTGAGGCAGGGGGAGAGAGTGGGTGGTCTCAAGGGGTGAGCTGGCGAGGGGTCACTGAGACCCAGATGTGTCATGCCACCCTCCCCCCACGAGCCTTTGCCCCTTGCTTTTTGTTTTTGTTTTTGTCACCTTCCATCTCTCCTCTCCTCCCCTGCACTGCAGGGGCCAGGCCCTGTGCCCGAGTTCTAGGAAACTGCATGTTTCCATGGCGACGGACCAGTGAGCTTGGAAATCGGAGCATGTTCCTGCTGACATAGGGAAACCCAGATGTGCATGGAAAGCCTGGCAATTCGGAGCATGGCAGTGACCTCCTCAGCCACCGGGCACTGTGGGTGTGAGTGTGTATCTGAGTGCATATGTGAGTGTGTATCTGCATATCTGTGATATGCAGCAGAGGATTTGGGTTAGAGAGGGCCTAACCTGGTTTCCTGGCCATATGGTAGCTGCTAGCATGAGACTGCAGCATCTTATTCCCTGGAGATCGTTCTAGAACAAGGGAGTCTCTCTCCTGAATTCTCCTCTGAGCCTTCTCTCTGTTATGATAGAGAAAGGGGCCGATTTGCTCAGAGGCTGACAGGGAAAGGAATGACCTTCAGAGGGCCGCCGGCTGGAGGATTCCAGGTAAGAGGGAGAGGGCCTCTCACACCCCACCCCACTGTGACCTCATTCAGGAGGTTCGCGGCCAGGTGAGCCCAGCGTGGCAGTAGGACATATGCTATGATGCCCGGGAGGGGAGAGGAAGGCCTGCAGCAGGGCCCTTCCGCCAGCCTTGGGCCCAGAGCCCGGGGCTAGGGCCTCACACGCAGCCGGAGCTCTGCTTCCTCCGTTCCTGTCCAGAAGCCGAGCTGAGCTGCTGTTTCTCTTACCTGCCCCACCTCTCCTCCTTCCCCTCGCCTTCTCCTGCATTTCTCTCTGCTGACGCTGCCTCTGCTCCTCTCGGAGTCCTGCCTTCCAGGGACTTCTCCCCAGGCTGTTGTGCCCTCGGGCCCCAGGACCCACGGCCTCCTCCTCCTGCCCGTCTCCAGCGCAGCCCAGTTCCTCAGGGCTGGACGGCTCCCCCCTGGGCCCGTGTGGGCTGCCTCTGGTTTCCCGTCTCGTCCCTCGCCAGGATCACACGTGCACCACGGGGCCACGTCTCCACGGCCACCCCATCCTTCAACCTACCCCCGTCCTCCTGTCGGGGCCTCTAGCTTGAGGCCCCCCTCCAGCACTTTCAGCCCTTCCAGGCACTGTGGCCACTCAATCAACCAGCCCGCCCAGCAACGCCCACATCCCATCCTTTCTTCTCTGGAGGCCTCATCAAGGTCTTTGTCCCCAGAGCTTACACCTGGCGCTTTCTGTGAGATACCGTGGCCACTGGAGGATGGGTCCCAGGGCAGGATTGGGTGGAACTGGACCGCCCTTGAGGGTTGGGGCCCCTAACCCTTCTTAACAAGTCCTGGTCCCGCCTAGTGCCCTGGGTCTATCTTAAACCCTAAAACCACTTTCCCAGACTGAACTAACTCCACGCAGCCCACCTCTCACCTTGGAGATCAGAGCACCTGGGGGTCAGTGTGACTTCTGTCCCCCACCCCCACAGCTGGGCCCTGCTTCTCACTTGATGTCCTTCCCACTGGGTGCGGCAGGAACAAAGCACAGAGGCCGAAATTAATGCGGTGCCAGGTTTGGTTTATTGGCTCACCCAGTGCCAAAGGTCCAATGGGCACCCTTTTCCACAGAATTGGGAGTCCCTTGGCTCCTAAATTAATTTTCTTCACACATCCCTCCTGGCCCTGACTGAAGCCACGGCAGGGGCTGGGGCAGGGTGCGCGGCACAGGTTGGGCTCTGGCGGGGGCTGCTCACATGGGCCCAGTCTGCTTGGCACAGGAAGAGGACCCTGGGAGAAAGGAGCTGGCTCAGCAGGGGCTCTACAGGGGGCCCTGAGGGGGTGCAGGGGCCCAGCTCAGGGCCAGGGCGGGAGTGGGAGAGGGCGAAGGGGAGGGAGGGCAGGCAGTGCGGAGGTGAGAGGCCCTCGGAGCCCGACTGTCCCATGGGCGGCGTCCTCTGAGGCCCAGAGTCTAGGAGGGAGGGCTGAGGGGGAAGAGCCAGCTGGCAGTGGGACCCAGGCGGGGCGAGGTCACTGCTGGGGGACAGTCCCTCACCTCGAACCCCCAGCTCGCGCTCCAGGAAGGTGCGCTCGCACGCGCACACAGTCATGTGCACACACCCCCACCTGGTGCCTCAGCCCCAGCTGCAGCTCTGGCCTGGCCACGGCCCACTTGGGCACTCATAGCCCCTCTGCTCTGCCCCCAGCTGCGGCCTGCACCCCTGCCCGGCTGACCCCTCCCTGGGCCCTTCCTTCCCCAGTGCCTTCAGGCCGTCTCTGGTCAGCCTGCCCCTCCCCGACGTGACCAGGGGAGAGCAGTGAGGCATGTGGGGACCTCAGGGAGGGGATGGCCGTGGTCCTCAGCAAGGCACTGGGTGGGGAGGACAGGCAGAACGGGGAGAACTCTGGCTCAGGCTCCGAGCGGTCCCACCTCCTCCGCTCAGTCCTCAGCTCCCGTCCAGTCTCTACCCTCAACCCGCCCACAGCAAGGTCTCCCTCCTCTTTTCCAAGCTTTCCAGGGGAGGGGTCACTGGGCAGGCACTGGAAACAGCCATGTGAGGGGTCCTGGGGCCTGAGATTCGTGGGTACTGGCATGGTGCGGAGCTGCGGGCTCTGCAGCTGGTGCAGGACTGGCACCTCATGCCAGGTCGCCCCCGCCAGAGGCCTTCTTCTTGGGCCGGCTCTTCAGTGTCTTGGAAGCTGGTGGCTGTGGAAAGGAGGGAGGAAGACGGAGGCCTGGGCCTGGAGCCACGACCCCTCCCCGTTTCCCCAGGCTCTGGCACAAGCTCTCACCTCAGCTTTGGGCACTTTTTTGTTTGATTTGACCCTCTTAGGAGCCTTGTCCCCCACGTCCTCCTCCGAGGTCTCTGGCCGGGCTTCTGCCTGGTTGGTGCTGGGCCTCGCACTCGGGGCAGGGTCGTCTCCTGGTTGGGGGAGGAAAGGAGAGCCGGGCTCCGGCGGCTGCCACCTGGCTTCCCTGCCCTGGTGCCCCACGTCCAGCCCGAGGCCCTGCCAGTACCTAAGTCCTCAATAGTGTCCAGGAGGCTGCCGGGGCCGGGTCGGAGGCGGCTGTCAGGCCCCTGCAGGGGCAGCGCGTCCTCGTCCCGGATCAGGGTGAGGTCCTGCATGCTGAAGCTTCGCAGCTTCTCTGACAGCACGCCCTGGCCCTGGGGTCACCACCACGCAGAGAGAGAACCGGATGGAGGGGTGAGGTGCAGAGAGGTCACCGTGGGCCACTGGGCAGCCACTGGACCCAGTGCTTCCCCCACACGTCCTCGCCCAGTCCTACAGCCGCACCACCAGGCTGCAGCCACACTTTTCCTTTGGGTAAGTCAGGAAGCCGTGGCTCAGAGACTGGAAGTCACTTAGCTGGAGGGCACAGGGCCAGGCATGGAACCCTGAGCTGCACAAGCCACAAACCTTCACGGCCCTGAGGACCAGCCGAGCAAGCTGGGGCCCTGGGAGTCTGGGTGTGCCCCTGCCTCACCTTGGCCGCGGCTGTGACCGCTGCGTTGGCGGCCAGGTTCAGGCCCCTCTTGCCCACCCTCATCATGGTCTCGTAGCTCTTGTCTCGGGCCTGTGTGATGTACTCGTCGATCTCCTGAGGGGTTGGAGGGAAGGAAGAAGGGTGAGGAGCAGGCCCTGCCCCACCTGTTTGCACCTGCACGGAGGCACTGCCTGCCCCAGGGGGCTGGGCCTGGCCAGGTCAGGCCAGGCTTGGGCACCCCCAGGGAGAGCCAGGAATGTGCGTGGCTGAGGCACTGGGCTGCCTGGGCCCGGGGCAGGCTGAGAAGCAAGCTCAGAGTGAGGGCAAACCTTTTCCTTGTTGGACAGTGTTGGGTGCACGAACTTGCGGTAGAGCACGCTGGAGCCCTTGGTGTAAGGCGACAGCAGCCATATCACAAAAGCGATCTTGAGCTCAAAGTAGAATGGGAACCTGTCAAAGTACACAGAGGCAAGTGGCAGAGCCCATGGCAGGGAGTGAAGTTGTGCTGATACACTGCAGGACCCTGGCCAGCCAGCCCATTCCTTCGTGCTAGGTCCTCACATGGCTCAGGAGACTGGGAGGTGAGACGTGACCCTGGTGGCAGGGCCCCTCACAGTAGCTCTTCTTGCCCCGTGTCCTGAGAATCCCAGCCCTGTCACTCCGGGGCCCTGGGGACCACACTGAGGTGAGCTCCCTGCCATTCCAGGTCCCCTTGTCTTCCCGCCCTTCCTTCCCTGAAGGAGACGGGGGCTAGCCTAGCTGTGCTCTGGATCCCAGCCATCCCTTGCGGCCATAACATGCCCCTTGCTTTGAGGGACTGTCCTCCATTCCCCATGGCTCCTCCTCAGGCCACAAACTCTTCAGGTCTCCCCCCAAAGTGCTCATCAAAGCCCTCGCCTGTGCTGTGTCAAGATGCATCTTTATCCACTGTCCTTAATTTTTAACCCTACAATTACTCTTTCCTGATCTGATCCCAGGTAACTTCCTCTGTGAAATCTTTTTCTCAAAGGCCATAAGCCCTTTTAGTATTGTGTAATGATCTTTTATGATCTATCTCTCTGTAAAACCTTGTCTTGACTCCCAATGTGCAATGTTAGTCCTCTCTTCCAAGAGGCATCTGCTCATTCAATAAACATTTTTGAGCTCCTGCTGTGAATATACAGGTGATTAAGACATCCCCTGTCCTCAAAGTGCTCATACTCTAGTAGTGCCTGGAAAATGTCTTTGGAATACAAGCATCCAGTGTTTATAAGACATGAGCCTAGGCCTGTTTCACAAATGGGGAAAGTGAGGGCTAGAAGGCTGTGACCTGCTCAAGGTCACGTCACATTAAGTTTGGCAGAAGCAGGTTTCCTAAATTCTATGGTGGTGCCTTGGCTTCCACCAGAAAGAAATGCATGGGTTATGGCTGTTCATGTGCTCATCAGCCCGGCCAGCATGGGGGAGGCTTCCAGAACTCCGGGGAACTCCACCCCGGGTCTCAATCTTCTGTCTGGCTGGCTGGGGAGAGAAAGTCAGAGGCTCTGCAGGGAGATGCTGGACCTCACCAGGAGAGCACGATATCTGTGAGCGTCTCGGCTGTGGTGAAGAAGGCAAAGACGATCCAGTACATCATCCACTTCACCTGAAGGGAGGGAGGGCGGTGTCGGCCGAGGCGTCAGGGGAGCACCCGGAACCCGCCTCTGCCTGTCAACTACGCTGGCGGTGCTGGCAGGGAGGGGCATTCAGGCCTTCAGCTTGGCCTGCCATCACACCAGGGCTGGGGAAAAGGACAAACACGAACCTCCTTTGAAACAGGGTCTCAATGCTGACAGCATTGGTACCAATCACTCCCATCTGTGATGTGACCCACTGTCCTCTCCTATCTGCCATGTGGGTTGGGTGGGAGATGAAGATTCATACACTCACATATTCCTTCACGTTTTTTGTCTTCACGGCCTTGTAGGAAGAATAGGCTGGGTACAGGGTGCCAAAGATGAGCCTAGGGAGGCAGGCAGGGTTACTGCACTTCTGGACCAAGAGGCCTCTCCCTCCCAGCTCTGCATCAGTCAGTCCCTTGGTAGGAAAGGGGACAAGGGACAGAACTCTAGAGTGCCACATCAGCGGGACTGATGACCTCGGCTCAAAGCAGTCAAGCCTCGGGATACACGGGCATGGAGACTCCAGCCAGCGAGGGTGATGCTCCTTCCCCCTCTATTATTCAGTTTTTCTCCAGCCTCTGAGGCCAGAGGATCCATTGTGGTAACTTCAGCTACGATCCTTGCTTATGTGTAAACTTATCAAGGGGAGTGGGGCTCTGGTCACTGCACAGGGATGTATTCCTTCTCCAGGTACCATGTCCACTCGTACCCACCCACC